ATTTCCCCGGTATATCCGTCACTTACTTGAGATCGACTGCTCATTCACCCGTCTGCATGTGCTACCTCCTCTCGCTTTTTCCATGTGAACATTCAGACGTCCACATTTTTACTAGCCCACTCAACTGTATCAGTCAGCAAAAATATAACTTCGTTGAGCTATCTAGGCAACGGTTGTACTTTGTCCTCTCAGGTTTCCTTTTTCTTCGCGCCCATTAAGTTTAGCGTATTTCGGCTAGATTCTACGCAGTGGCCCGGCGTGGTTTTCATGGCAACACGCCGGGGCCGTCAACAAGCGAAACAAATTCGGGTAGAAATTTTGTCGAATTTTTTTGCTTGATGATAAAAAAAGAGAAACTACGTACTAAATTAATTACCTTGATCATTATTTTTCCTTAAATGTTAGCAGACTGTTTATTTGAAAATGGATATGACTTAGGTGGGAAGATGGGTGGTATGAGTCTTTTTTTGCTATTTTGTAGTATGTTATTTGTTTTACATAACAGTTCACGGCTTTTCTTTAAATCACGACATCATGTACGTTCTAATATACTTGCAGTTCATAACGAGAAACACCTACGGTGCGATATTTTTGGTTTCCCAGAAAAAAAGCTTGAATACCTGTTGTCACCTACTTATCATGATAAATTTATTCAAAACTCGCCTTTTTTAATTATGAACAAACAATTACATCCATAATACCAAGATATATATATATTTTGAATAATTCTAAGCTTGTGGCCAATATAACAAAATTTTTATCATGTAACGTACCAAAAGGCATCCACTGGGTTTTATTAGGAAGCTTTCCAAGTTCCTCTGCGTTGTTATTTAATTACAAAACAAAAGAAACCAGAGGTACCAGGCTTTATTCATCTTTAGTTAACAACGATATCTAGAAATTGAATCAGGTTGAAGGGCATGACCCATGCTAAGTAGAAACTAACACTGGTTGTTGAGTTGTTTAAATGAATAAATCTGTGAGAATAAGTCAAAATTCCTCACACATACCTTCAAGGAATAGATTTACTTTGTTTCGCATATATCTGTCTGTTTAAATTGTACTACTTGTATTACATAACTAATTAGTAAGTTCAAAGTATTAAAACATTACAGCATATCACCTTCGCCAACTATGCGATTAACATTTGGATCATCCTAAAAAAAGGCCCACCTGATGTCACTCTTGCTAGATCATTTCAAATTCTCTTGATAGTGTTTTAGTCAGGTTTGTGGAAGCCAACATCTGTCATGTAGTAGCACTTAACATTAATTTTACATGAAATCCAGGACTTCGACTGATCATTACTCTATTCGACATTGGTATTAGGCAAGCGTCCGTTTTCAAGCAATGACGTTTCGTAGCTTTCAAAACGACGGAGGCAACTTCGGTATTGTTCCGCATGTCAAAGCTACGACAGCAAATGAACCCCCCCCCAAAAATGATAGCAATCTTCACGTTTTTTGCCCATATGACTCGTGACTGCAGTTCTTGTGACATCAGTCATTTGCTCAAGTTTTCGATTACTTGAATCCGCCTCAGTTAATTTTACGTATTGCCTACCTCCATCGACTTAAATGTTCCTTCTGTCAATCACCTTCTTCAGACTAATCGGTTTTCGTGTTGAACCAATAACTGTCTTCAAAATTTCGGGGCCCACAATTGAATAAACACGCTGAATCCCCAATAAAAGATAACCCAAAACGTGCATCAACGAAACCGTGTTTTCCTAAGAAGCAAACGTTTCAGCAATGAACACTTTGTGACTATGTCCGTTTTGTTTGTCCAGTGGGTAGACTTCAAATGACGCTCAGCGAGGATTAGAATTAAAACAACGGATAAATCAGGCAGATGTCACCCCAAATTCCAAAACGGACAGACACGAAAATAGAATAATTAAAACCCTCTAACAACAAAACAGGACCACGTGAACCCTCCATCCAATTAGCTTCTAGTAAGACCTTAACCTAGAAGATTTTGCAGAAATCTAACTCCTGAACCCGCAGAGGTGCTCCCGAGACCTGATAAGAGTGCATCAGGCTGCAGGAGGTCAAATCTGAGGTCAAATGTGAGTTTAGGAATGCGATCGCACAGCTTAGTGGCTCACGGTGGCTAACCAAGGCATGCAACACCAAATTCGATTGCTGCGGCATCACTTCAACTTAAGACATCAAAGTTAACGTCAGAGAAATTTGTCGTTGAACTTGCCAGCCGGTGCTACTTGAAAAACTGAGCAAAATTCAATGCATTTTAACGGAGTGTGTGGGTATTTACGTCAACGCTCATCCCGTCACATTACCTATCGCGTGAGATCGTCGATTTGAGGATGCACATTTGCGCACACGGTAGCCTGACTGATTTACATAAAGTAGTACATGCGCAGGACCACGACGCCGTTGTCATAGCAACCACACCAACCGAGCACCATCGACTCGCAACTGTCAACCAGGAGAGAAGTACACACTTGAACCCACCACGATTGCAAATAAGCCGAATTCAAGCGTTTACCAGCGACTGCACGGGGAAGGACACGCCGTCCCAACGGATGACAAATAACCCACTCACACCCGGTGACTCACTCCGCTATCACACGAAGGCCACAAAATACAAGCACGCACACACACACACACACACACACACACACACATAGAGACGAATGAAGATCGGTAAATAAGCCAACTGCATTTAACAAAGGTACACAAGTGTTAACTCAAAAAGAAAACTTGACTGACAATAATGCACAAAGAGGGTGCGCGTAAACGCAATGTAGGGCAATCATAAATGCGTCTGGGAGATATGATTGTGAGTGTGAGAGGAGGAGGAGGCGGAGGAGGAGTAGGAAGAGGAGGGAGGAGTGAGAGGTCCACTACCGCTACGACTACTACTTCTTCTTCTTCATCGTCAGGTTCCCCTGCTTGGCCTGTTCTGCCAGCTGCTTTCGCCGCTCGAAGGCCGCCATCTCCTCCGACAGAATGCGACGCTTCTCGTCCAGCTTCTTCTTCTCCTCGGCGTGCTGCTTCTTGATGGCCTCGAACTTGGCCTGAAGCTAGACACGACAACAAAAAAACGCTTGATTGGAAGCACTGGCCGGAAAACCGGATTGGAAATGTGTAACCAGGAGATGTGTGGCTTAATTTGCACGGCTTTTTCAGGAAACTTATTTGATGTAACGAAATAAAGTCATCGTCAAATCTACGCACATCGTCCGAGGTTTAATGAGGTGTTTATCCATTAAGGCGTGCTGCTGCTGCTTTGACCGGAACAAACGATAGTCGCCAAGGAGGCCACGTCTGGTGAATATGGTGCGTGTTGGAGAACATCCCATGCCAAGTTCAAGAGGGTCTTCTGAGCAGCGCACGAGCAAAGTGAGGTGGTCAAGTGTTGTCATGCGGCAGCAGTACGACATGCCCGCATCCTTGCCCAGTCAATGGCATTTCTTGATCCCTTTCATCGCCAATATGCTCAATTGTCGGTGATGGCGTTCCACAGTCACCGTCTGACGACCAGTTTCCAGGAGTTTGTAATAAAATACACCTGTCTTGTCCCACCAGCACACAGGATTACCTTCTTCCCGTAAACGTCCTGTTTCGGCATCGGTGTACTGGGTTGCCCGGATCTCCCAACGACTTTCTACGCTTGAAATTCTCGTAAATGTTTTTCATCACCCGTCACAAGTTGCCTCAAGGGGTCCATTCACTGCTTGTTGTCGGCGGGCAAGCAGTGAAAGACTGTGTTGTGTTTGGTCAACACATGTGGGGAGACCCAACGTCCACGTTTTCTCATTTTTCCAATTTGGAAATAGGTGTTTGGGGGACGCCTTCCTGATCTGCTACAAGCCCTTGTTACGTCTGCGTTGAATCTCCATCCAGCAGAGCTCGGAATTCCACATCTTCAAACTTTCGAGGCTGCTGTCCGGGGCGCGGCTGGTCACGAAGATCGAAATCATCACATTTGAAGCGCTTGTACCATCAGGAACACTTTTTATAAGATACAAATTCGGCTCCGAGAACAACACAAATTGATTCCCCTGTGCTTCAGAAGTATCGTTTTTTTCCTTGTTGGAATTCGTGTAAAATGCAGTGCCACCGAATGTGCTGTTTGTCAGTTGGCATCGCCGTAAACTCTGATGTTCACAGAGGTTACGTAACTCACGTAGACTTGTCGTTCGATATTCTGAAACCTTGCGTCCGATTCTTTCAAAATCACAAAAGACTACGAAAATATCCCAATCTTAAACACAATTTTTAGCTCGAAGAAAAAGTCAGTACAAACAAAATTCATGCACCTGATGCTTAGGCTTTAGCGAATTCCATTGTGGTAATAGCAACACACACACACACACACAGCCTACCTCTCGTTCAGTCTCCTTGAGAACTTGCTCCTTCTCCTTGACACGCTGGACAAACATCTGACGCATCTCCTCCTCCTTTTGTTTGAGCTCCTTCTGTTGGGACTCGCGACGTTTCTCGTAGGTTTCCTGGTAAACAAAAAGAAACAGGTGAACGTTAGGTCTCAAGGTCCCACGGGCTCAGGCGGCGGCTCCACTTGTGCCTCACCTGCAGCGACATCTTCTCGTCGTCGCGAAAGCCCATTTCCGTGAGTCGGTGCTTGCGGTAGGTCTCGTAGTGGACGGTGTGCGTGCGCTCACGCAGGTCCTCCATGTTGACACGCAGAAGCATCTCACGAAGTCGCACAAAGTCGCAGTGCGCCTCATTCTCCACCTGGACGCAGCCCCACGGGTACTGGCGCACGCGCAGCGTCCTCCCGTTTATCTTCGTCTCATCTGTGCTCCCCACAACAGCGAAAGGTAGCATTTTCTGTGGGCAAGAGAAACGTGGACGCATGTTGGCGATAAGATTATAAGTATACATTTCGCATACAAGAGCACTGATGATTAGGGAAGAGAAAGAGGGCGCAAAGGTTGCTTAAAATTTTGACAGAACGTTAAGCGTGCCTAAGTCGTTAAGGCTGAAACCGCGGCAATGGGAGCAAACCGCAGAAGTAGAGGCCAGATTATTAACTAACAAACTAACGGGACTCATTCAAGCACCATTGGCAAACTGGAAAGGCGAAGAAGACAAGAAACAGAAATTTTTGAGTTGGCAAATTAGACATTCCTGGATAACACAATAATCGCACAAAACCAATTTTTCATAACGTCCAATCAGTAAATACCAAAGGCAGTAAAGTTTTAGTTCTAAAGATGTTGAAGTTGATGATATCGACTCCGTAAGTCAGACTGTGCGAGAAGTCGCTTGCAGAAAAAAATTATCGTCTGGAGCTGTGTTTCGCGGCAAAACCAAATTAATATGAAGCGATGACAACAGCGTCTGACGAAGAACACGATGATGAATCGATAAAATTTGGTTTATAAATGGACCGTTAGAAGAGTTAGCGGTTATCGATTAAAAATTTGACATGGAAGAGTTAGCTCAGGAAAGTACGAAAGTATGGCTCACAAATGAAATCGAGTCTTGGGATAGAGAGCTCACCAGTACTTATACTTTGTATAACTTCAGAATACTAGAAAAGACACATTCATGTAATTGTAATAGACATACTTAAGAACAAATACAGCGAATTAAAACCAAATAGTAAACATTAAAAAAAAATTACTTGTGTCAAAAAGGTGATGGGTTTTGCCAATATAGCATTCGGTTGCTGACAAATAATTTGTATAATAGCGAGAAACCGGAGTGCGCGTAATTATAGCACAACTCATCTGCCTTCAGTGGAATGCTTTACCAAAAAGGAGCAGTTGTGTGCGATCACGAGGTAAGTACGGGAGAAGAGAGGAGAGCTGTTAACTTACATTTGTATTTCCATTCAGTTCGCTGACGATTTCGTCATCGGTTGGAAACTCGTAAAGGCGAATGTTGTTGGCCTTAATCTCGGACATAACCTTGGTCTTGAAGTTGGCAAGTTCGGCTTTCGTGATAGTGTCTGCTTTGGCAATAATCGGGATTATGTTGACTTTATCCTGCAATTTCTTCATTGACACTAGATCCACAGACTTTAAACTACAAATAAGCGAAGTGAATTACCTAAACTAAACCACGAAATAATTTCCTGCTACCTAAACCACATCACTAAGCTTAAGCAAATTGGAAAAAAAAACACTTGAATACCAAATATAAATTCAGATGCGAAGGAGAATAAAGCAAATCTCACCTGTGTCCCGTTGGAGCGATAAAGTAAAGACAAACATGCACGCGGGTATCGTGATAAGTGTGCATGGCGCGTTTGATTTTGAGTTCTTCTTGGAGGTAGCTTTCATATTGTTTGTCGAGGAATTCAACGACGCTGTCGGCACTACACAAACGCGATTAGAGTGTGATTTTACGAACCTGTTCTCTTTGTTTATTTGATCACCAAAACCACACGTTTCGGTTACTGTAAGTTTAAGCTTTACATTGCCTTCCTTTAAATCTAGAATGAAGCACTAAGAAAAAAAGCATTGAACAGACCATAAGTCTTGGACTTCAGCTTAACATCAGGAGAATCGTGTGAAGATGGCAAAAAGTCAAACTTTTGATTAAAAAGTGTCTCGATAAGAGTAGACTTCCCCAAACCGGTTTCACCTATATATAATTAAAGCACTTCAAACAAACTTACCGACGCACAATATGTTGAAAACAAAGCCTTCACCAATTGATTTGTCGACTATTTGATCAGGAAGGCTAACAAACCCGACGTGTCCATTAAGGGTGAGTGTCCTGCAATCAGGGTTCTTTTAATGTTATATAAATACTGTATAGTTACCTTTTTCTTTAACGCGTCTACAGTCATCTCACCCAAGCCTTTGTCTCCGAAGAACGCACGCACACAGAATCAAGTGGGCCTCCTAAAAGCATTATCTTCAAACGCTGTTTTGGTCGTAATTGTTTACATTAACGCTTATTTTTGGAACTCATCACAAATTAAAATTTTCAGACAAATTAATAATAATGGATGCATTAAACCTCAAGTCGTACATTCAAAATCCCTAGTAATCACTTTGCCAAACCATGTACTGCATGATTACTCTGTAACCAGGTTAATATAAAAGAGACAAATGTAATTCTTTATGTGAGTTAGGATTTCAAATCTTATATATATCCACATTCTGAAATTAAAGAGTCTTATCCTAAAAATTTCCTTCGCTCAACTGGATGACTGATTTAATTCGTACACGCTCAATCTCAGCGAATCACAGAATAAAAGTACGAAATATTTGCGGTTTTCTTCAGAGGTTCAGACATTTTCTCATTTCAATTTAAAACGTTTCTTTATTAAAAACGCCGTAGAATTATTCCGTGAAGGGTTTGATCTGCACTTATTTGCGCAACATGTTCCTTATTACAAAGGTGGTATCCCATAACTGCCTGGTTCAAAATGAAAACCATTTGCGTTTGGCGACTTTTCGACTGCAATTTGCCATGGAGTTTTTGGCCTTTACATTAATGCTTCATTTAAGAAACATAATGCGTTTTTAGCTAGGGTAAACACTGACCAAAATCAAATACATTATATTTTGAAAATTTTCTAAACTTAATAAACATAATCTTGGAATCAGACTTTTTGTTCTTAAGTACTCTCATGTGAGATAATTTTTGATCTCATGTTTATAGCTATGTTCTCAATTATAAGTGCCATAAAACACGTCCGGACATTCATGCCTTAATATGCCCTGTTGTTTTGAGGACAACAAGCCTAATATTGGTGCATTCAAATGTAGGACTAATTATTTACGGACCCCAATATGATTATGTAGCAGAAAATGAAGTATATGTTTAGCAGGAAATGACTACTTTTCTATGAAATCAAAGATTCATAAACACCAGGGTTATGATGATTAAAGTCAGATTACAGAATGTATTGCTGATATGTTAGTGCTCAAAGAACTGACCAAATCATCTCAAACTGGCTTTTGAATTCTTCACGTGGAAGTTATACGCAGCTCAGATCAAAGCCAGGCTGTATCATTTGGAGGATAGTAAAGACATGTTAGTTTTGATGGATGCAACTATAGGTTCGAAGCATTTGTTTGAAAAGCAATTAATCTGCTTTAGATGCAAATAGATAAGGTGGGCTAAATCCTAGAATTAAAATGGAGTGTCACTCACATAGCATAAAGGTGAAATTTAGGCAAGAGAATTGAATATGCGAAAAGAAATCAAGGGAGTTTACTAATTATAGTGCCTCATTCGTTAAAGATACCCCTTGCTCTTGAACTCACCATCACTAAATATTTTATACACTTTATCCAAATCCTCGTCTGTAAAAACCGGTTTAGTTTGACGAGAAGGATCCACCTATGCAAGCGACAAGAAATACATAAACGGTCATTGAGATTCCACTTTGCCTCAAAAACTGCTTCATTCGAAACTTTTGACGATCTGGTAACGGTGTTCTGCAAATTATGTTTTAGTGTACAAATACAGGGATATTTGGTGTGGCGAAACTTAATGGAACGCAAAAAGCATTCGTTCAAAAACACAGCAACCCCGTGGCAGAATTTAACTGAAATTGACATTATAGCAGTCCTGATTTTACCATTGTGATTTTTGTATAATACCCTCAAAAAGGCAAAGGATTGGCTAGAATCAGCGTGGTCCAATATGTTTGCACCCAAGTACGTCGCTATGTAATATAATAGAACTAGTTTTATTGACCAATCACAAGCCAGAACCATAGGTCAGTAGACATTTATCCGAGTTCTCCACATTGGCCTTGCCGCTCATAATATTCACATTCTCATACGTGTCTGTTTGTGATTGGCTGCATATCTTCCAAGCATGCCATGAGAATGCAACCAGACAGAGGGCTAACTAAGGCAGGTGTGGTCAGATATGACAGTGCACCTATACACAGCTACAGAGTCAATGCTTAAAATGACACAGGACAAAACCAATTTTATAACAAAATATTTGCAAAGACGAGGATTATTACATGCTAAATGCTGCAGGCACGAGTCTTTATGAGCTCAAATCACGTGGTTTCTGCATCTTATACTCAACCAGAGCTATTGAGGATTGGAACGACGATTTATCGAGTCAGTTAGCATGTTCAATTGGGTTCCGTGTCATTTTTAAGTGGAGTCCATCCAGGAATAGCGATCTAGCTTCTTGGACTTTCCGGTATCTTAGATTCCGTGTTCGAAATGTCGGAATCGCGTGTTGAGGCGATTTCGGAGAGATCCAAAAACTCAAAGCATTGAGTTTTGGTGCGTGCCACACCCTATAACCGTCGCCAATTCTATTTTAGCTCATAAAGTAATGTGGGAGATGGCAGTTGGTTGATAAGATGCAGATTTCCAACTTGTAGCATATTTCAGCAACAGACATATCGACAATCTCTTGAATGTGTCAAATCAAACTAGAGTCATCGTTTCTACATGTCGTGGCTCATCAGCACGCCGCTGACCCTTCTGAATCACGACGATAGTTCAAGTGCAGCCACCTGGTTTTCGAAGGAAAGCTTTCACTCTAGAATGGAAGAATGGTATATATTATTCTACAATTAACCAGGAGACAAACACCTATGCTTTATTTGGCAAACTGCTCCACACGTTAACTTCGAATCTATAAAGTAAGTACACAATGCCAAACAAACAAACGAACAATCAAGCGATGCAATTGGCTCTTGTAAACTTCCAACAATATGCAATTAGAGTGAAGCTGTATATAGACCGCAACATTGATTTCATTCGATTTTCCTTAATTAAGCCAACTAATCACATTATCGCATTCTTGTTCATTTAGACCCACCAACTCACACACTGGATTGATAATGCAATAATGACGGACTCGGAGCGTGGTTTGAATGAAATAGGACAAAACTCCTCACCGCATTTCATCAATGTCATCTGTAAGGACAAGCTTATATTAGTAGATTACTAAAAATTAGATGACGAAAACACGAAAAATTTAAAAGATCATAAATAACGGACGTGGCAACTTGGTGTTGTTGCCTAATGTTTCCAGACGTCACACGGAAACGACTAGCGCAGAGCATGCGGAAATATCACCGTGTCATGGAACAGCTCCCTGAAAACGTACACCTGCCGTTGTCATTTTCTTCATAAATACACACACACACACGCAGAATCTCCGATGGTGTGTAGATGGCGTCCTGCTTCGATGGCCCTCTCGCAAATGCACTTCAGAGATCCATGATGGATGTGAATAAGGAATGTCGCCTCATGCTGGTAAATCCATTGAATTCGACGTGGTCGTTGTGTTGGCTGGACACGAATTTGACCCCATGCCATGGCCTCCAACTTGGCGCCATAGCTCGAAATATCATTTCACGTGGTACAAAGGCAACGACGCCAGGTGTACCAATCCAAATTAGTCGAGAAGCAAGACGGGTTTATGTCGCATGTGCGTGTCGTTTGCTGATGTACTGGTTATGTAGCGACCACAATGTTTGCCACACCGCACAGCCGATTACACACAGCAATCAGCCACGCGAAACCATTGCTCAGTCAAGCAAATATCCCAACCTCCACTTACCTCCGCATTTCCAGACAGGTGGAACATTCCCTGTTGTGGGGGGGCCTTTTCCAACTCGACAGTCACAATGAATTGGACCTGCATTTCCACGAGAAGTTAATGCAACTTCAGCCTTATCAATAAATGGCAGTACTAGCAAGTCATCTGAGGCTGTCAAATGTCCTCCTCAGCCACGACCACCATGCCATCTCCACATATGTATTGATTTATCAGTAATGCACTCAAAATCGGTGGAGAGTCGTTGAAGGTTGTGAACATCACGAACGGTTTCGATTTGCACGTGGGGTTCACGACCAATACTAGGTGTCAAATCGAAACGTGTGATGAGGCCCGGTGTCGTCGTTTTCCGTCGTTGACAGCTCACAGTGTACGCCAATGGTGCTTGTGTTTGCTGAAAAGAAATACACATCGCGGTCGTAAATGCCATCAATGACAACACAGAAACTCAACAGTGGTGTTCTGGGGAAGCAGACAGGTGTGCGACAACAACGGTCGACATCAGGCAACAATGAAGCTGGGAAAGAGAACAAAGAGGCGCGATGGAGTGCTCATATGGAGTGTGGTCTGGCAGACGGCAGGGTTCACCCACCAATCGATAATTCACAACGTCATATTACGCGTCCGCACCAGAGCATCGAACCCGCGCAAGTGATTATTCTCGTGCACACTGATTCGCTTCAATGTCGAGGCCGCGGCGGCATTCAGCGCATCTATGACACCAGGTCGCGTCGCGCCAGAACCACCCAACAATGGAAGGTGCTGTCACTCCACTGACTCATTCCACGTTCTCAGACCTGGGGAATGTATTTCACATTCGGAGACCCATCCCAATTCGATAGCTTCAATGGACTGGGCTTCCATCTACAGAAGAAGACAATGCATGACAACACGTATCAATGAATCTAAACTTACTATTAAAAATTGCAGAATTTCCAATGACAATCGGTAATTAGTACCTCCAACAAGACATTAGAGGTTGCCGTAAGTTGTCCGCATAAATTACCACCAGTCCATCTCCATATCTTTCGGGTTAGTACTAATGTCTTCAAAGCAAATTGACACTTCACTAAGTGCATAGTCAGAGTGTTCGATAAACGGCAACTCGTCGTCCATTCAACCAACCACGAAATACCCTTTCCGATGGCGATAGAGGCGATTAGGACGATGGCTATTGGTCAGTCCTACTGCCTTATTGGTTAAATATATATTTTGCGGAGGATAAATCATTTAGAGAGGTGACAAGAAGGAATGGTGATTTCGGCCATCACTGTAGATTCCAATTCCCACAACGCCGAAATGACCCTGGTGTTAACGGTTCTTGGTTTGTTGGAAAGATGCTTCTACTTTGGGCTAAAAACACATCTAGGTCATACATGACATCAATGACAACAATGGTAGCTCCCGATGCTCAATTTTGTCACCATAGTGACTGTTGATATGTGTGTGTTATAACTAAGGCAGCCATCAGGCAGCAATAATGCTAGGACAGAGAACAAGGAGATGCGATGGAGTGGCTCATATGGAGTGGGTGGTCCACAATTCAAAATGGCCCTCTACGTGTCTGCGCCAGACCGTTAAAACAACAGGATCATCACCAATGAGTTTGACGTCTAGCCAAGAATGCGTAACATGGCTGCCAATCGATCGCGAGAGATCTTCCATCGTGAACACTCTGTTAACTTCATGTGGACAAATTGGCGCGCTCGACACGCTCTGAGCACTGCCCTCATTGGAGTTTGTCATTAAAGACGATTCCACCATGTCAGGAATGGGATTCTACATCACACCGTGAATTCTCTCCTCCACATCCACATGGAATCATCCACTCCGTTCGTTAGTTAAACTCGTAGGTCATTTCAGTACGGAGATTTGTCGTCCGCACCTGGGTTCACACCCCTGCAACACACTGTCACCTACTACTTCGACAATCCTTGTTGACACACTTGCCCTCACTGACTCACCACTCAGTCCATTCGAGTTCACATCTCGCTCATGACGTCCTCCCAACTTGTAACATTCGCTGACGGTTGACCCCATTCAATAACATGTCCAGTGTTTATGACACAAACCAAATCACTGCAGACTTAAGGTTCCAAAAGTCTCTTATCTGCAGCCTTTCATCACTAACTTCACCCTGTTTGAAAACAAATTCCCTTTTCACAAAGGGTTTGTAGCTTTTTTAAATACAACATGTGAATTGAAACTCCTTCCCTCAAGGTCATGTCGATGGCAAGTTGAGGGTCATCCTCTCTAGGTCGTTTCAAGGTCGAGTAAGTTTCCCGTCAAGCGAAACAATCACAGGCTTTAACTGAGGCGAATTCGCCATAACCTGCAGTAGAAGCGGATGCATCAGTCAAGTGTGCTTCTGCGCGTGGAAATGCCAACTCGTAATCCGCAACACCCTGTAAACTAAGATGAAATACACGAGGTTACTCACGGCTCAACTGTCAACACCCAAGCGTGTGCTTCGTGAAAAGAGGCGTTAGGAAACAACTGGTGTCTTGCAATAAACGGGTTGATTTGATTCACATTCAGCAAGTTTGTGATAGTGATGTTCACGAAGAGGAACGTCCATGGCGTGCGATGAAGCCAGGTCGCGTCGTTTTCAGCCCTTGGCATTCCATAGTTCACGGCAATTGTGGTTGTGTTGGCTGAAATAACACCCATAGAGGCCATACGTGCCATCAAAGACAGCACTGAAACTCAACAGACTCGCTTGAACATGACAAAAAGAAAAGAGCGACACGTGATACTGCACTGTCGCGTCAAAATGGAGCAGTAAGTGGAGATGGTTTTGGGGTACGACCAACAAAATTATGACAAGTGAGAGCTAATTAGCCACAAACTATCAACGCCTGATGTAATTAGCCAATCGAAACCCTTTTCATAGTGTGACTTCGAGTGGAGAAAAATCGATTGGCAAGTGCTTAGAAGGTGATTCTTCTCGCCCTCTAAGGATGCTTGTGACTTCTAATTTCCGTTGACGGCAGAACACATTCAGTAGCATGTCGAATAGATCATTAAGACCTCTAATTAAGCATTCATAAACAACTATTCTTCGTGATCGCATGCTACGACTTTATGTTATTCCACATCGCAGGAGTGCGTCAGCCACCATCAAGCCAGCTTGCCTTGTTGCATCTCCATTTGTAAATCTTGACGTGATGGTTCTTCACCTGACACCTAACCCCCAGATTCCAAAATCTGGTAATTCCGCGACGTCAGATTTGGGCGCGTGGAACTATCAATTGACAAAACTGCTGTTTTTTATCGAATTTGACTCATACAGAAATGACTGGAGTCTAAAGACATCAAGAGTCAACCAGACACTGTAACTCAACTCTCTTAAGCAGGGGAAAACGTTTTCTGGTGTTTTAATTGATCTACCGGACCAATTAGAAGAGTAACAGGTGCATTTGATATCCTCTCAGTTCCCCTGATCTGTCCATTTACTTACTTTAATTATGATTGAAATCGGTAGAACTTTTTTGACAATAAAGACACTATATAGAACAGAATTGGTCATTTATGTTTTGCTAGTCTAACGCCACGTAATTGTGTGTGTGCTGTATGCGGATATCGCTGCTTGCCAAACTAAAATAACCTCCTCCTGGGCTAATTTTATTGTCGATTTTCCGATGGTTGTAATTCTGCTCTGGAAAAAATAGATGTTGATGGTAGAGGTGTGCACGGAGGCACAATCCGATGGCGCTAGGTTTGGAGGGGGCGACGCGTGCACCCTTAAGGGCACCACCTGTGCCGCTGTGCCGAGACTGGAAGGTGCGATGTGCAGGAATGCTTATTTATAGTAGGGTGGGCGACCAGCACAGGGGTGTAATTTACACTGACGTGCGGTTGTCGAGTTTCACAGCTACCGCGTTCTGATAAGAGGTAGATAATTTGGATGTGCACCGAGTTTGTGTACGACTGATCATCTTGTGATCCGTTCGACACCTTCTGGAATGTTAAATGTGCATTTAGCAGGAA